TYYKTTGTCTCTCATAGGCCCGGACTATATCGGGAGCTGTCTCTAGAAGTTCAGATCTTGTAAACCAGCGGTCGTCTTCCGGTTCCTGATAGCTAAAATGAACCTTGTATTGTTTTTGTGGACGACCTCTACCTCCAGTTCTGAAGACATCCTCAACCACAATACCATCTAGGTCATATCTTCCATCCATATCAGGTGGGATCATCGATCTACGGGATGGAAACTGATCACTTGTTTGACAAGGTAACAACTTTGACGCATGGAAAATTGGGTAAGTGTGGAGGTGTGCTGGTAGCTCTATGGTATAGGACAGTCCATCTTCGTCGCCCTTGACCTCTAGAACAGGCCACGGTCCTCTATATGTGGGCAGTAACTTCTGCGAGATGTTCTCCTCAGGCGCAAACTCTTTGGAACTAACCCAGACTAAGTCGCCTACTTGGAACTGTGAAGGGCGACGATGTTTGTTCGCTTGCTCTATCATCTTATGTTGGGCTCTCCTGAGGTTTTCTACAACGGTAGCTAGTTCTCTCTCGTGCTGCACAGCAAACTCCCGGGTCCCGGGCGGCAATCTGTGAATCTGATCCCGGTTGAGTCCCTCAAACGGTCTGCGTGGTCTAAAGGACTTGTGCAGTTCGTTGGGAGTGCGACATGTAGACAGATGCACGCTATTATTGTACGCATTAGCTACTTTGGGCAACATCTCATCCCAGTTAATCTGATCCGGCCTTATATACATGTGCAGAACTCGCTGTAGGATCTTGTTCATTTGCTCCGTCTGACTGTTAGTCTCTGGATGACGGCCGGACGACATCAACAACTTGGATCCATACACTCCCATGAGTTCTTGCCAGTTCTGGCTGGTGAAACGACTATCTCTATCACTAACTATTGACTGCGGGATTCCGTTCTCACTAACCCAACAGTCAAAGAACCTCTGTATGACTAAATCAGTACGCGCCTCTGAAGGCAAAGGAACAAAAACTGCGTACTTGCTAAAGCGGTCACCTATGACCATGACTTGGCTCTTGCCATGCCTGCTCTTGACTTCAGTGTCCATGAAATCTATTGACACTGAGTCTCCCGGCTGATCCGGAATGGGCAAGGGTCTGAGAAGACCTAGCGGGGCGCGCGTAGAACTCTTATTACGCTGGCAGACTTTGCAACTGCGAACATACTCTACGCAGYCATTCTTCATCCCTGGCCAGGTATACGCACGCATAAGATTGGCTAAAGTCTTTTGCCAACCAAAGTGACCCTTTGTGTCATGGCATTCGCCCAGAATCAGACTACGAATCTCTTCGCTATTGGGGATGCACAGGCGGTCAGACACATTAGTCTTCTCAAAAAGCAACCCTTCGGTAGTGCGGTAATTCGGTTCAGTCTCTGAGGCCTCCTTGACTTTCTTAAGGAGCTCACTATAGATAGGGTCCTGCGCGTAAGCTTCTCTAACCCTCTGCTGCAGGTCCTTCCCTATATCGAGGTAATGTACTATTGCCCCAAAGTAATTCGCTCTCCTACTCAGAGCATCCGTGACTACATTGTACTTCCCTTTGACAGGCTTGAGCTCAAAGTCATACTGATCTATCTCTGCGGCCCACCTAGTAAGCTTAGGTGTCATCTTGGCCTGTGTCTTTAACCACCGTAATGTCTCATGGTCAGAATAGACTTTGAAGTGCCTCCCAAGCAAGTAGTGCTTCCAATGGTCTAAGGCTTGCCTGAGAGCGTAGAGTTCCCTTTCATAGGTAGATGTCGCGACCTTCTCTGAAGGCATCCTGGCGGACATGAACTCTACGGGTCTATAGCCATTGCCATCGTCTTGCTGTAACACTGCGCCTATGCCGTACTGGCTAGCATCCGTAGTAAGGACAAAAGGCAAGGACGGATCGACGACCTTAAGGACCGGATACTCTATCAATGCCTGCTTTAGCTTCTTCATGGCAGACGTGCAGTCCTTGTCCCACTTCCAGATTGTCTCTTTTCTCAGCAATCTGCGAAGGGGCGCAGCGATGGTGGAGAAGTTCCTCACGAACTTCCTATAGTAGTTAGCTAGGCCCAGGAACGAGCGCAACTCTGTCAGCGTACGTGGCGTGGGCCAATCTCTAATCGCTGCGATCTTGCTATCTTTTGGCTTAACGCCGTCTCCGTCTAAGACGTGGCCTAGGTACAGAACTTGGGTATTTGCCCAATCGCACTTCTTTGCATTGATCTTGAAGTTAGCTTCCCTCAACTTCTTCAAGACCTGCTTGAGATGTCCTGATGCTCTTCGAGGGTCCTGCTAAACACTAGAATGTCATCTAGATAAACTACAACAAACCTGTCTAACCACGGCCTAAACAAATTGTTCATACAGCGCTGGAACGTAGCTGGCGCATTGGTTAGTCCAAAGGGCATCACTATGAACTCGTAGTGCCCATATCTAGTCCGGAAGGCCGTCTTGTACTGATCATCAGGATGTACCTCTAGCTGATGATATCCGGACTTCAAATCTATCTTGGAGAAATACTTCGCCCCTTGCACTCGATCTAAGAGATCGTCTATCCTAGGTAGTGGCTCAGCATTCTTCACTGTAATGACATTCAGACCCCTATAGTCTATACACATCCTTAGCTCTCCCTCTTTCTAAGGTACAAAGAGAACACGGGCTCCAAAAGGAGACGAACTGGGCCTAATCCAACCCTTTTCAAGGAACTCGTCCAACTGTTTCCGCAGCTCCTCTTATTCCCGCGGGGACATCCTATACACCGCACCCTTAGGAGTTATACTGCCAGGCTCTATCTCAATACGGTGCTGGATGGGCCGCGGCACCGTGCCTGTCGGCGGCTCAGTCAAATCCTTAAACTCTTCCAGCAGCTTGGCAATCGCGGGGTCCATCGGCTTCTCCTCCGTAGGCTCAGTCACTGGCCTAACATAGGCAACAAAGACTTGTTCCTCCAATCCCTCCTTCTTCACCAGTCTGGCGAATGCAGGGGCACTAAGGTAGCAGTGCGCCAAGGAATTCTCTACCCCTTACACATGGAACAGGCGGGCAGTCTTGGCCTCGCCTGACGAACTAGGGAGCCTACACTCGTGCTCCTTCAAATGGAGCGTGGCCCCGGCTGCCTCTCCCCAATCCATTCCCAGGACAATGTCAAATGGGAGGCTGTCCTCTACGAGGAGAGTCGGGGAGTGGTGGACCTTCTCCACTTTCCCATCTTTCTCTAGGCGGAAATACGCTTGGACTCCCTCTACTTAATCCTCTACAATCATAGTACGATTGTCCGCGAGGATACTAACTATGGGGTCTGTCAGTTTTTGGACTTTAAGTCCCAGCCTCAACTTCTGCAGCGCTTTCCTACTAATATAGCTGCGAGTGGCCCCTGAGTCTACTAGCGCCCCTACTCTACTTCTAAAAATCTCTGTATCTAGTAATATAAGTTGCCCTTTGTTCTCCTTCTTCATCTTGGCCCAGGCGGGCATCCTCTCCTTCAACTCTTCGGCCACGCCTGTGAGGGAGGTGTATAGCGAAACTCTAACACAAGCAGTTTCGGGACAGTTGTCTCGACACCGGCCTGCAACCTCTGTCGTAGGCACATGTGGTGTGGGAGTCTCCTGCCGGCTAGCGCTATTTTCCCCACATGGCCTACTGGTAGGGGCAGTTGCTACCCCTACCGACGGCTGCCTTTTGGCCCTTGGGCAGCCGTTCGGGTCTCTTTATACTTGGGACAATATTTGATGATATGGCCCGGGTCACCGTAGAAAATGCACTGACCCCGGTCCAATCGTTTTTGCCATAAGTCCTGGTCCAGACCCAAAGATTCCCAAGGCCTACGCTGAGGTAGCCCTGGGTGCCATCCTCGTACTCTATAGGGAGACCTATTCCTAGGACGGTTTTGCGAGGGACCTTGACCCCTGCCTCCTGCTTGGCGGTTTCCTCCTCTGTCGCCAACCCCCTGATCGCCCTGAAACCGACTCCCTGAGGCCCGGCCCCCTTGGCCCTGGCCTCTTCCTCCTTGCGGCCTCCCTCCGGCCGCGACAGTAGCGTAGGATCTCCCCTGGCCCACACCGCTGTCCGCCTCCTCTAGCCCCCACTCAATCTGATCGTAGGGAATCTCATCCACACTACCCTCATCTAAAGTCAGGACAAGGCTATCCTTGGTCTTTACCTGCCCTGAGATAGTGCGGCCTTTCCATTGCTT